AACCGCTCTATATTTGATCCGCTTTCACTTTCCTAATATGTACCTTTCAATATTGTGAATGAGAATACTATTGTTGTTCTCACGGCTAAAATAACAAGAATGTGAAGGCTTCATATATTTTTTTTTCTAAACAAAAAATTATTTAATAAGAAAATGGTGGATGGTAGCCAATGGCGGAACACATAGATAACTTCAACACTGACAAATCAGTTGTGTTCTACTAGCATAAAGTTTGATGATGAGGTTCGGGCACAGATGCAAGGCTCATCCCCCGATTAGGGAATTGGTTCAATAGGGTAGGTTCAAGGGTCGGTCGACCCTTTCTATTGAGTTACGGTTGCCGCACAATAGGAGGGACTCCCCTCTTAGTTATCTATTATTATATATAAGTAGTTTTCTTTAGTTAGGGTTAAATTTTTGCTTTACTTTCTTCCATTGGCATCATTCTCCCTTGCTAGGATTATATTCGAGGACATATGATGCTTCAGTTGTATCATGCTCCAAAGTGGAGTTTATCTCCTCGTATCCCCTCCCTTTTCCCCTACTCCTACTAGCAGTCAGCTACTCCCTACGCCTACCGCACTCATCCTCTTCCCTGTAACCTACCCCAAACCACTCCTACTTGCACCTGACTCCTCCCTACCCTACAACCCTTATGCTCCTACCTGTAATCAGTCCACACCACCCACTACCTGTAGCTGGCTACTCTCAGTCAACCCCTGCCCCCTATCCACAACCAACTGGCCTAACTCGCAACCACAACTCCCCTTTTCCACCCACAGCCACACCTCTAAACCTTCCCCTCATACCCGTGTTTTAGCCACCAACCGCAGCCAACACCTCTGACCCACCCTAGCGAGGGTTTATGAATTGTTTAATTGTGACTGTTATTTGTTTTTCAGCAATAAAAGCTTGCTTCTCATTGTCGTTTTGGGTTAGCTCAAGTATCTTTTGGTATCAGAGCTAGCATAACCCTAATCCTATCCTAAAAGGTTTCTAGCATCCACCATACCCCAAATCCACCTGCACCCCCAAAAAATCTCTTTGTTCCCTATTTCAATACCCTCTTCCACTCCCACCAATCGAAATCCTAACCATGCCACCAAAAAGACACGTGTCAGAATTTACACGTGAAAAAATACGAGAGATCAGCCGACTTCAGCAAAGGATTGTGAAGATTGATGACGGAACCCAGGAGAAATTGAAGAGGAGAAAGATACGAGAATTTGAAACCCTTCATAGGAAGGACTTAAGTGATAGGAGGACAAGCCATGACGCTTCGGAATTCATTATCAGAGAAGGTCGAGAGCGGACAGAGATTTCAAAGTGAAAGTATATCTACCGGATTTCACGGGTGGGATGGATCTAGATGATTTCATTGAATGTTTGCAGTAGGTTGAAGGAATCTTCGAGTACAAAGAGGTGTCAAAGGATAAGAGAGTGAAGCTCGCGGCCATCAAATTGAAATAGAGCATTTATTTATGATGGGAAAATTTATAGAGTCAAAGAGAGAAGGAAGTGACAAGTTTACCAGATGGGAAAAGAAGAAGGAGAAACAGAGAAAATACTTATCTCCCCACTACAGTCAAGAAATGTTTCTGAGGCTCCATCACCAACAACAATAAGAACTACTAAAACGGGCAGATTTAGTGTGTTATTTTTTGCAAATATTTTTCAATATTATCAAATACACACAACATATACAACAGTAAATATGCAATTTAATTGCAACAAAAATAACTTTAGTGAAAATAGTTTTATCTTTTTTTAAAAATATTTAATCTATCAAATCTCCTAAAAATAACGCAAGTATACGTATCGCTCAAGTAATAAAGGGCTTTGACGGAGCCCTAGATATCAATCCCACGGGGAAGTTGGAAATGTTTTTAAATAAATTCTTAAGATTATAATACAAACTATAATTTTAAACTACAAAAATGAAGTACGAAATTCGAATCTAGAGTAAATGAGTGAATGTTAAATAAAATGAAGTTAAAAGACTAAGTTAATTAAACTAATTACTAAACTTTCAAATGTAAAATTATGAAAACTAAACAAAGTTTTTGTGGCGAAGAGTTCAAATTTAAGAAAGCATCATTCCCCTTTACAATGAATATATGAATTGTGAAGAAATTAAAATCATTTAAAAATATATATATAAATTGTTTTGTGTCAAATAGAAGCAATCATATTTTTTACCCTCTTCCAAGTGCATAAAGAACATTGACTAATCTAGAGTTTAGTCCCTATTTCTGTGGTTAGGCCCCAGTGATATGTTGCCTCTCCCTTAATCAGATAACTACTTTTGTTGTTTTTGAGAGGTTGCCAGAGCTAACAATCTCGCATTAGTTTCCACTCAATTGGACCAAATTGGAGATTTTAATCACCAAATTGGGAATTAGACCAAATTGGGAATTTTAATCTGTCACCTTAAAATTTCCAATTTTGCATCCAACAAAGTATATTTTCCTATTTATTTGCACTCAATTACATGGATGACATCCTCTCCCATGGAATCAAATGTAACTCTCAATATGTTGTAAAAATCACAACTTTTTCCGAACATATGTTTCTCAACACATTTTAATATTTCAATTGATTATATCAAAAAGTAAATGAAGATCAGAGTTCAAATCATCACAAATTATTGACATTTAAAACGATATAAAACAGCGTCAATTTTTCATAAAATCATATCTCAAAGTATGAAGAAGGATAAAGAAGGCTACTCATAATTCATGAGAATGATACAACAAAACACAGAATTCATATATAAAAACAAGTTTACAAAACAAAGAAATAAAATAACACAACTTATCTCGCAATCTTTCCCAAACAAATTCCTACAAGTTCTCTTCAAGCAATTTCCCTCTTTACAAGCACTCTCAATGCTTAATCAAAAATTGGTTTTACTTGAATCAACTTAAGGAAAATGCTTTATTACTTTCTCTCTCCTCTTACAATCCTTGAAGAAAATCTTCAAGTCATTTACTTTCTCTCTCCATACTCACGCCCCTCTTCTTCTCTCCACGCCACCACTCTTGCATGCCCTAAACTTCCCTCTCTTCTATTAGAAGTTGTCTCCCTCCAAAAATGAATTCAAAATTCCCTCCAAAAATTCCATCCAAAAGTCAACTTTTTTGAAATCAAAAGATATGTCTATTGATCCAAGAGACATCCCTTCATAAAAAAAACCTCTTAAGTGTCTAGATATATTGAATAACTCTATGGGATGTTTAGAACATGTGTCCATTTCGAAATTTGCGCAGAATTCATCCTGAACCACCTTAATCCGCAAAAAGTCGTCTCTGGCACTTCAGGCGCTGGTTCTGGCGCATCCTGCGCCAACTTGCTTAAGACCGCGTTGTTCTGGGTTTTGATGCTTCGGGCGCCATCTCTCTGTCAAATGGGGCTTTAGGCATCAGTTCTGGCACTTCAGGCGCCAGCTCTCTATAAAGTGACGCTTTAGGCTCCAGCTCTCTATCAAATGGCGCTTCAGACGCCAGCTCTCTGTAAAGTGGCGCTTCAGGCTCCAGCTCTCTATCAAATGGCGCTTCAGACTCCAGCTCTCTATCAAATGGCGCTTCTGGCGCTTCAATTGCAGTTTTGGCTCTTCAGGCGCCAAAATCTCAAAATTTGTCATTTTGCTCCAAATTTCGTATTTTTTTGTTATTTTTGCTCCAAATGCCTAAAATTGATATAATTACAACAAAAATATGAAAATACACTACTTTAAAATGCAATATCACCAAAAATAAGCATAAAAAGTTTAATTAAAACAACATATTATTTTGGTGTATCAAAATCTCTCAAACTTAAATGTTATTTGTACTCAAGTGACACTTTTATTATATAAAAGCATATGATTAAGGAAAGAGATTAACTTATAACTTCTATACTTTAGTTTAGTAAATAACATAGTAAAATTCAAGAAAAACCTTTAATAACTTAAATTCAAACTCTAAGTCTAATGGTACTTAGTAATTAAATTTAAGATTTTTGAATATCTATTCATTTCAAGAAAAAATATAATGTCACATCAAGAATACTTAGAACATTCATATTAGAACATTCATATGAAAAAGAATTTCATGAAGATT